TTCATTTTTGTGTACTCAAAAAGTGAGTACACTCTAGAATCAATCAGTGCGTCCGGCCGTCCGTTTACACGATAACTTTTGAAAGGAGAGTCAGATCACGATGAAATTTTCTATACAGTTTAGTCTCAACAATATCTCGGTCGAGTTCGAAGATGAGAATGATTGGCCGAGCTGTTCCTGAGTTATTGCAAAAATAGTCATTATTCCCTATGCTTTCCTATGCGAAGATCGACCTATCCTCGCTTTCGTAAACAACTTTTTCTATCATAGTCAAATAAAACCCCAACTGTTATATACCATTCGATAGAGAATTTCACGAGCTACAAAATGGTATATAAAACATAAAGAAACAAGAAGGCTAACTCACTTATTGCAAAGATAATTAGACTGGAATTGGTTCTGTTTTTATTCACGCTCTAATTGATCCACAATTAGAGCTCTGTCTTTCGATCACAGAGATGATAGTTCGAGGTTTTCTGAGACGAAGAACTCGAACCTATACTCCGCTTGCCTCAAAATATCATTGGTTGAGCAGAGATCAATAGAAATTAAGTTATAGGAAAAACGACTTTCTTAGAGTAACTCGAGACGAAGAGTTCAAATTTGAGCTGTATTCGCTCCCAAGTCCTATTGGTTGAGCAATAGCCAATAGAAATCAAATGTTTATAGGAAAGATTTGCTAGGATAATTTTTACGCCCACATATTCTATGATGACTCATCTGTCTCCTTCACTTTTTGAAGTATACATAACTCTCGGATTTAAATCCGAGGTTTCTACATTTATATATTATTTCTTTGTGAATTTGTTTTATTATTAAATCATTTGAAAACAATCAATAATAAATAATATATAATTAATTGACGAATTATTATCAAACAATATTATATATTAGGCAAATATAATCAATATTTCATTACATACATTTCTTATTTTATTACTTAACTCGTAATCATATACAATTAACTGATTCTATAATAACAAAAATATTTCAAGAAAAATTAATATTATCATCAATATTATAATTATTAGTTAATTATGTTTTATTAATATTTTTTTTTTCGGTGATAGAATGTTCAAATCAAGATAATTACGATCAATGTTGGAAAAATAAATTACATCTCTACTCATTAAAAATTTCAACATTAGAAATATTTGAATTAATAATATAATCTTTGTTTAATAATATTATTATATTTATCAAAACCTTTAACAATAAAACATAAATAAATAAAAAAATTTCATTGATGTGATTTTGAAAAATTTCTTTTAAAATAAAGAATATATCATAATTGGAATAGTTTATATAAAAAAACATTTCAACAACAATTAATAACTCATCATAGATAGAAAAGTTATTTGTTGATCTATAATTAGTAACAATATGTTACTTAATATGTAAATTCATTTGAAAAATCTTTATTAATGAAAAAACAAAAATTATTCATTGCATAAATTATCATAGATTATTTACATATTATATGTAATGATAATCTTTGAAAATAATCCTATGAATATTTACAATTATGATTATTCTTATTGATAAAATTAAAAAATTTTATATAGATAATTTTGGAAACATTTTTATTTATATTGGAATGTTTGTATAATTTCGCTGATGCATAAAAAACTATGCAAGAAAGAAATAAAGAATTTTAATTGATTATTGAAAAAGATCAAAATCAAGAAGATTTCTTACATCGTTTGTTTTCATTGATATCTCTTTACTTTTGTTGAAAAAGACTAATATATTTAAAGAGTTTATTCGACAAGTAAACTTTTTCAATATAGATTTTTTTTTTAGTATCAGTTCATTAATTTTTACTATCAAAGGCATAGAATCAAATAAGAACAATACTTATCGATGATAAAAAAAAATAGCAAAACGTCGCTTTCTCAAGCTTTTACATATAAAAGTTTTATTATTAATTTATTTATTCAGTTGCTGATAACGAATCTCTTTGTGTATCCATCACGATAATATAGAAATGTCGATCTGTCACGCTCAACTTAAAATGTAAACAAATTTGTTTCGTTTTAAAAGTCGGACGAAAAAAAAAAGTGTTTTGAGCACCTCAAAAATAAGACAAATGAAGATCAAATTAATTATATATGAAGTGAGCAAAAAAAAATAGTATTTTTACAAAAAACAACAACACATAGATAATGGATTCAATCAAGACCAATTTAAGGGTAAGAATTTGGATGTAACTATCTCAAGATAAATCTTCCTGACATTATAGTGTTTTTGAACGATTTTTACTTCTGATTCTAAAAGCATATTAGATAAATGCTGTGAATGTATGCCGAATTGACTAAATTATTTCGCTAATAAAAGTACGTATTTCATATTTCTAAATCAATAAATGGGAAGATATCCTTTGAACTCATTTTCATGTAGATCGAACACTTTGAATACGAATAAGAGCAAAGCCAAGTTCATTGTTGTGTAGTCAATGGAATAGATTAACTATTACATTCGAAGACTTCCAATAGAGTGGTAACCGAAGTGTGTTAGACTTTGCATCGAACACGATATACTGATATGGGAATTTTCAGAACAAACTTATTTGTTTATGAATGTGAAACCAATAAGGACGGATAAGAATTGAAATGAGATAGAGTTGCCTACAAACTTTGATATTCTTCATAGAAGCTACTGTATACAACATTTTCGAATAAAGATAGTTTCAAAAGAAAATTCAATAGCACGAATTTTCAGAAAACCTAAAGTTGAAATCGAATTGGAGTTTGGTCATCTCTGTCTAGGTCAAATAATCCAACCATAAGACCTTTTACAATTCTTGCAAGATCATATAGAAACTTACTGTACGATCTTTTATGATTGCTCAAGATCGTATGAAAATCATATATGACCTTAATTTTAGACTTCATACGATCTTCGAAGATTCATGCATGATTTTCCAGAATTTCCTACAACGTTGTATAGCAAATTTTCTCTCATATTTTTAATAGTCCATTGTCCTGATAGGCAAGAGAGGAAGGAAATTGCATCTCTGTTTTTCCGCGCCTATGCTGAAGAAATAGCCACGGTAAATAAAGGTTTATCTTTTATAAATTCATATACGATCAAGTTTTGCTATTCCACTAAACCTAAATGAACAAAATGATCTAGAATAGAGAAATAAGTAACTTAAAATAAAAAAAAGACTTACTACATTGAATTGATCCTTGAAATACTCTAAATAAGATACATGCGACTATATTATAGTAAGAAACATATTAAACGTTACAGTTAGATATTTGTACAATTTTGTAAGGCCATACAATATAAACTTACGACATCCAATAGTCTGTAGATCTGATACGGTCTTTGCAAGATTCTTGTATCTAGATGACTGTTTCACATTCTTTGTTTTTAGACCATTTCTTCTATGGATACCAAATCAACTAGTCAATTCAATGCTAAACTATTTGAGTAAGTCATTGTAATATTTTATGACAAATTACTTCATCTGATTCAATTCTTGCGCAGTAATATTGCAAATATTGACAAAGACATTAGTTTTGATTTCTTAATATTGTGGGCAACGTTATTCCGCATTATTGGTTGTTTAATAGCGTCTTTCATTGTCAACTGGCAATTTACTTCGATCATTGGTTACTTAAGAAAATTTTTTATTAAATAGTTTCGACTGATGTCAAGGACTACAATAATTATGCTTTGGATGCATTAATCAATCGATTGATACTATTCGACGCACCTTAACTTGCCCTACTATGTTCTATATTTGTTTTCTCAGCTCTATATAGGTCCTTTATGATAATAATATTATTTTGTCTTTTTTTCTTTCATTTTTCTCTTAACACTGAGGTTTTTTTTTTTTATCGTATTTCTTATTCAAGACTTTATTGTATTAAATAAATGTATATGTATAGCACTCGATCTCTACTATAGAGACGTGTAATCGACTTAAAAGAAAAAAGTGATGGGAGACTTTTGGCATGCATTGTACTATAGAAATATTTAGTTTAATTTCCAAATTTCAACTAGTTGAAAGAAAACCCAGTGTTGCTTGTTTAAGGACAATCTCTCTCTTTCCATTACAAAAATTCTCAGTGATGAGTGGCTCTACTGAGCAAGATTTTTTGGTAAAAATTTGAAAGAGGCAAAAAGCTTCGGTGATCTCAAATAAAGTCAATAATAATTGAAAGTTTTCACATTGTATATATGCATACGCAGCGCAATTTCGTGGAAACAACAAACAAAATCATAATAGATAGTTCCAGAAAGATCTTCGAAAGAATTACAAGATTTGATATTTAGAATCATGAAGTTGGTTTTTTTATGAATATACTTTATCGCTACAACTAAAAACATAGCTATCTCTTAAATAGCAAGCAAGATTGATCAATAGATGGCGTGAAAAATTTGATTGGATGATCATTGGAGGACTTGAATATATGTTTTTTAAATGGCGTTACATTCTTCATTATTCTAAGATATTTAATTTCAATTGTTTAAGCAGTTTTCTCCGATTCAGATTACATTCAAATCTTATTTCAATTCGTGAGTATTTTGTCTTTTTTTCTTTTTGTCTTTCGAATTCAAATAGAGAAGTTCATAATCGAAGAGGAAACGAAATTCTGTGAAATTTTCTTCTTGATTGAAATTACACAAAACAAAGAAAGAATATGTCCTTGTTTAGAAGCTCATCTACGTACAATATCAATCCTACACACAAACAGACGTTTCGTTTTCCATGGATTCATTTTTATATTTTGAAAATATCTTAGTTTATTATTCTAGGAGTGGTTCTACACAATCAATTCCTATTTTGTATTCTTTAAAAAACATAATAAAATAATAATTTGGGTTTCTCTTCTTTTCTTTTCTATAGGCATTTTTTTTTCTTTCTTTATTATTTGAGTAAATCAAGGTAAAAATTATTTAAAAGAAAATTAATTATATTTATTTATTTTTGTTTTTTTACTTTTTCTTTTAGATAGGAAATGGCTGATGATACTGAAATTGAACGAATGCTTGAAGAAAAAATGCATGAAGATGAACAAACAAATAAACAACAAAATGGAGAAAAAAAAGACAAAGATAAAGATAAAGATAAAGATAAAGAAAAAAAACATAAAAAACATAAACATCACAAACATCATAAATCACATAAAAATGATAAAAAACATGAACGAAAACGAAGTCGTTCACCAATTAATGATCATCGTCGTCGTCGTTCACCAACACCACCAACATTATCTAGTGGTAAACGACGTGATGTTAATTCTGAATTACATCAATTAGCTCAAACATTAAGTCGACAAGGAAGTTCAAAAGATCATTCAACAACAAAAACAAATCGTCGTGAAAAATCACCAGAATTAACACCAGAAGAACGAGATCTTCGGACAGTATTTTGTAAGTAAAACATATTTATGGGATCAAATTTTTTTTTTTTTGATTCCAATGATTTTATTTTCTTTTGACTCAGCAGCACTTGACTTATATCATTTATATATGTTTATCTTTAGGTATGCAATTAGCAGCAATGATTCGACCACGTGATCTTGAAGAATTTTTTTCACGGGTTGGTAAAGTTCGTGATGTACGTTTAATAACAGATCCTCGAACACGTCGATCAAAAGGTGTTGCTTATGTTGAATTTCGTGATTTAACTTGTGTTCAAGCAGCTCTTGCTTTATCTGGTGAAAAAGTTCTTGGTATACCAATTATTGTTAAACCATCAAATGCTGAAAAAAATCGTTTAGCAGCACAAGCAGCTGCAGCTGCTGCTGCACAAAATTCAGTTATGACAAATGGTATAACAGCACTTTCTGGAACAGTTATACCAACACATGGACCAATGAAATTATATGTTGGATCATTACATTTTAATATAACTGAAGATATGTTACGTGGTATATTTGAACCATTTGGACGTATTGATAATATTACACTAATGAAAGATCCTGATTCGACTCGATCGAGAGGATATGGTAAGTAGAGAAAGAGTTTGTTTTTTTTTTTTTTATAAACTAAAAAATAACGTTGTTTGTTTTTTTTTATTCAAGGTTTTATTCAATTTGCTCATGCTGAAGATGCTAAACGAGCTATGGAAAATTTAAATGGTTTTGAATTAGCTGGACGACCAATGAAAGTTGGTCATGTTACTGAACGACCCGGTGATATGACTGGTACAGTCGGTACAACATTTCCAACATATACCGGTGGCGTTTCATCATCATTTACATCTGCATCCAATCTTGATTCAGATGATCTTGATCATCGTGGTATTAATTTAGGTGCAACTGGACGTTTAGCTTTAATGGCTAAATTAAGTGAAGGTAGTGGTTTACAAATGCCAAAACATGCTATTGATGCATTACAAGCTGCACATATGCAAGCAGCTGGTTCTCAACATGTTCGTATACCTGAACCACCTAATCCACAACAATTAGCAACAGTAACAGCTGTTAGTACACAATGTTTTATGCTTTCAAATATGTTTGATCCAACTACAGAAGCTAATCATAATCCTGATTGGGCTAAAGAAATTCGTGATGAAGTTATTGAAGAATGTAATAAACATGGTGGTGTTGTGCATATTTATGTTGATGAAAAAAGTTCCGATGGAAATGTTTATGTTAAATGTTCGACTATTGCTAGTGGTAAGTTTTCTATGAAGAAGAATTGTTCATAATCTTCTCAACTTAAAAATTACTTTTGAATTCGAATTCTGTACATAAGGTAGATCCTAATGAGTTATTAAAAACCCTCTCTATCTAAGAATGTATGTACTATCAAGTTCTATTGTGTACTGTTGACACATGAACAGAAGGCGGTACCTTCACCGTGAGTATAGTAGAAGGTGGCGCTCTTTATTCATATGTCAATGGTACGCAATAGAGCTTGATAGTACATTATTAAATAGAGGGAAGTCTTTTCAACATCTCTAAAAATGTTTTGATTTGTACTGCCATATAATTATCGAGTTGATAGAAATTTTGGTAATTTTCTTTTTTGAAAATCTTAATATACCTAAAAAAAACAAATCACAAAATAGTTCGAAAGGGAAAGACGATCTTTCCTCCTCGAAATCCATCATTGTAATAAATTAATGTAATAATATTCATATTTGTTTTTTTTGTTTCTAGCGATCAATGCAGTCAATTCACTTCATGGTCGATTCTTTTCTGGTCGTACTGTCGTCGGAAATTATATACCAACTCAATCATATCATAAACTCTTTCCTGCAGCAAGCACAGCGATAACACCACTTGTTCTTTCATATCAATAGATTCTCCCGATTTACAAAACCATCATTCCAGTCAGAAAGAGAAAGACTGTATTCAATATATATATAAATATGTGTGTTTATTATTTCATGAAAAAAAAAACTTAACAATTACTGTTTTTCTTTTTTCTGTGTATGTCTTAGCAAACTAAAATGGTTTCGAACGAGACAAAAAAAAACTCTTTGCGTGCGTGTACGACTAAACAAAGCAAAAATGTTTGACTTCAAAAAAAAAAATTTGTTTGTTTTTTTGTTCTATTGAAGATAAATAATGTAAAAAAAAAAAGGTCAACGACAACATTGTTCTCGTCAACGATATGATCAACAATAAATGAACTAATAAAATTTAGAAAGTGTTTTAACGAATTAAATTTACTGACAAAAAAACAAATCCTTTTTTGTAATTTAGATGAAGTATAAGAAATAAAATCGACAACCACAAAATCAATTATTATCAATGAAAAATATAATATGTATTTCAACAAAATAAGTTTATAATATCTAATTGACGATAGTATATATGTTAGCAGCAATATAGGAGCAAAATAAGGTGACATTTAAAAAAAAACAAACGATATAAACTTAAAAGTATTTTTTATGGGTTCTTTTTTTTTTTGTTACGAACTTATTTAAAAGTCATAAATAATCACACAGACTTTGACCGTAATCGTGTATTACTTTTTTTTCTTTCATTTCATACTGTTTTGTTCCTTTCTTTTCGTTATATTATCGTTAATAAAAGAATAAAATAAGACTAATATTTACGATCACGCCATTATCATCTGTTTAAGCTGATTTATCCATATTCATATTTATATATATTTGTTTATTTATGTGAATATCATTTTTTTTTTGTCTTCCTATCCAGATAGATAAAATAATAAAAATAAAAATATCAATGACAACAATGTTTATTGACAGTATTGCTTCTTGTTCAATACGATCTATTAAATTATTTACTTTTGGTTGTACATTAGCCGTTGTACTTACAATATTTCAATATGAACATAAATTACGATTATTTAATTCTCCTCGATTTATGCTGACTTTACCTATTTTGAGTCTCATACCGATATGTGGTTTTGGTGCAGGTAATTTAAAAAGATTTTTTTTTTTCATTGTTTTCTAGTTATTTTATTTTCTTTTTATAATAGCATTAGTCGGTCTTCTTTATCCTATGGTTATTTCTACGATTCAACAAACATCTTTTCTTGAACATAATAATAATAATAATAATAATAATAATATAATACGAAAATCTGAAGTTTGTAAATCAGTTGTAATATTCCTTGGAATTAATCATTTATGTGTTGTAAGTTGAACATTTATGTGAATAAAATATTGTAAAATTATATATATATATATATATGTTTTTTTCATAGAAAATTCCATTTCGAAGTGATCTTCATTTTACATTAACACTAGTATTTTTTTGTATAGCATTTTGGTGGTGGTTTGATCGAAGTATAATAACTTTTATTTTTTCAATTCTTGTATCATTAATATTAACAACGATTACAGAAATTTTATTACGTGCTGGTGCACTTCAGTAAGTTGTTGTTATATTTTTTTTTAAATAAATCAATTCAAAATTTTCTTTTATAATTTTGTTATTAGATATACATATTCGGATTTTTATTTAAAAACTTGTGTACCTTGTCTAACATTTGCTGGTGCTATTCTTACAATTCAAATAACTAAATTACTATCACAGGTATGATATTTTAATATTAGATTTTTTTTTAAATTAATTTCATTTTTTTTTATATAGCCTGGTCAACCATCATCAACATTAGATATTTCAAATGAACATGAACATATAAAAAATGATTGAGAGAATCTATTTTTTTAATTACATATATATCTATTCGTTTTTTTTTGTTTTGTCGGTATTGTTTACTTATTCTTGTTGTTTCATGTTTATCATTGAACACCAATGTCTCTGATAATATTTTCTCCACTTACTTGTGCAATGTATTCGAGGACTTTCAATATTGAACTTTGTTTTTGTGTTTTGTTTTTTGAATATGCATATATGTATATGATGACAAACTACTGTAAAATTAAATATCAAACAATAAGAATAGACACATATAATGTATGCCGAAGTTACACTATTTATCAAATTTATTGTAGATCAATTAAACAACAAATAATAATAAATCACTTGATGATATTCAGCTAATAGTCTTCATTTTTCTTTGACTCTTTTTCAATAAATTCTTGCAATAAAACTAAAAATTAATTGAAAATACTAATTAGATAATTCAGAGTCCTTTGGTCTAGGTCTACGATAATTAAACAACGTTAATTGATCGCAGAAAAAAAGCAGCAATTTACCATAGGAGGACACAAACATCCAGTCTATTTTGAAATTGAACGTCTCAAGAAAGTCATTTTTATTTTCGTTGAAACTGTCAGGACAATACAGTGGCTATCAAATGTGCTTATGAACCAAATTTCAGTTCGAAAGTTTTTGTTATGGATTTTTCGGCAATGCCGAGTTCTCAGTAAACATCTTATTAAAACATTCATAACTTTGTATTAGTAGACCGTGAGTCTGATATATTCCCTCGTCAGAAAGTGGCTAAGAATCTATTCAAGAATAAAGTAGTAGCTGCTTTAAAAATTCTCTATAATCCACTATAATTTTTCCTTATTTTGGATTTTCGGTTTACTTTCGCTATTCAACAGTGAATAACGTTTCCATCTTTTCCTAACATTTCGATAAAATGTAAATATCAACATTCAATCACCATTTACCAGCATCCGCACTCGGTGCTGTATATAAATGAATCACATGTGTGTAAATTGAGGTTTGTGGAAAGTGAAATAGGAACTATGCTTCAGTCGAACAAGCGACCAATTATCGCTTTCTTCTTTGGTCTCGAATTCGAGTTGAGAAATGGTTCGTATATAATGGGTATGATATTACTAATAGATCATGGAACTAGATTTATGTAAAGATTAAAAGAAAATATCTGTGACATAAGCTTTTCAAATTTATATATTCCCTAGACTGAAAGAATAAGGTCTAGAAACGGAAATTCACCTGTATCTGTCTGTAACATAGTTACCATATGGTATCTATGGTACGAATGATTTCGTAGAATGACAAAAAAGGGTATCTACGCATTAGGATTCGAATTAACCGAGAAATAATATCATTTCAGGACGAAGAATACGAAATTTGTATACTATGCGGAACGATCCAATGCACTCAGTATTTCACCGTATCGTATAAGAAGAAATACGATCGTTCGCAGCGAGATACTAAGCAAAATGGAAGTCATATATGACATCCATAAACAGCTACTTTTACATCCATAGAAGATCATATTTCTCTGTATATGATATGGGGAGATACGAACGTAATACTAAGTCATGTAATACGTCAATCAACGATCATTCACGGTCGTTTACGAGCATGTTTTTTGAAGTGACGATCATTGTTATTAAACTATTGAACGGTATAATATTTATTAAGAGTTAGAGATTGACTCTGAACATAAGCTTTTGAATGTGATATTAATTTTTTTTTTGTAACTAATTGTATTCCAAACATGAAAAAGACTCCATAATTCTTTGCATTGTTAATATGATATATAGGTTTCCAGCAACTTCAACCTGAATTTGAGACCAAAGAACTCTAGTAGATTTAATATATCTCTACAAAATGAGAAATGTCTCGATTTTGGAAACTGATTCATTATAAAAATAGAGTTACTTTCAAAACAGTCGATTTTGGAACTATCCGAAAATGCTTTTTGAAAGAGTGAAGATGATCGAACAAATATTCAAAAATGAAATAATGTCCCCAATGGATTTGCACGGATCTTCGTCCTTCATTGACATTAGAGTAAGAGTTGTGATATTTAAAAGAATTCATTATTAGATAACTCTGAAGAGTTTACTAAATATCTTCCATTATGTAAAAATTTCCAAGAAGTATCATATTTATCTTAACTCAAGTGAATAAAACAAAAGAAAAAAAGAAAATTCTTGCGACAAGAATCTATCAATTCAAATGTGTAAATAACATATCTCTCGAATTTTATTTTATTAAATTCAAAATGCTCGAAATAGAATATTTGCATAAATGATGTGATTCAATTGCTGAACAGTACTTCATATTCAATGAGCTCTATTTTATCGATTAGCACTCATCAATTGATTTTATCTCTATTAGATAAGATGGTATCTAATTGCTCATTGTCATATATATATATATATATATTTACAAATTGTTGATCTTTCATTTTAATTCTATGTTAGTTTGAGATTATATTTATATATATATATTTTTCATATGTACTATGATGATGATTCTTTTAGAACTGTAAAATATTTACAAAATGTTTTTTTCTTTCATTATGTTAGCTTATTTCAATATCTAATAGATTTATTCTTGGTTTTTTTTTCTACGTAGAATTCTTTGATATGATTATAGCCGTCGAAAAAAAAGAATAATGAATTGAATTTTAAACATCATCGTTCGTCCGACATAACCAAGGACATTTTTCTTTTTGAGGCTCGAACATATAATAATAAAAAGTCAGTCATACAATTATCTCAATGCAATGATTGTTCTCTTTTGTGCGATTACTATATGAACAGCAAAAGAAGCAGAGAGAGAGAGAGAGAGAGAGGGGAAGAGAAGAGAAAGAGAAAAAAATCTTGAGCAAGTCCTACTATCACATAACACTCAACGGCAACAGCAGGAAGCAACACATACTATACAGCTCATCTTATTCTACTCTCTGTTGTTGTCTCAAATTGTGTTTTATCGTTCCGACTTTTCAAGTAGTCTCTTTATTCAAGTGACGATACTTATTCTCGTTTATTTTTTATCTGTTTTTTTGTTATTCAAACTTTTAACAAAAACAAATCATTTATTTACATACAATGTTGTGGAAAATTTTTATTTGTCTTTTATTCATTACAAAAACATCGTCTCTTATGGATATTTATGGTAAGAATATTATTTAGAAATGTTCATATATATATACGATTAAAATCAAACGTATGCTTATCTGGAAAAGGATCATATATGTATATATATACTTTTTTTTTTTGTTCTTATGTATACATTTATGATATAAAAGTGACAACATAAAATACAAGGCTTCTTTTTTCCGAGTCATAAATCTATGATATATATATGAGTATGTATGGTGATGATGTAAAACGGCTGTTTTACTATATACGTAGATATACGTACATTGTGATAATGTTGAAACTCAGCTATAATTTGCATAATTTATATCTCCTTTCTGCATATATACGTATATGATGAGAAATATGGTATTGTTCATTTATATAATTCCTTAACAACCTTGATTGTCATCACCTATTTATCGATACACTTGTTATTTATCCACCCACTTGAGTAGTTGACAAGTTCTCTTGATTATACTTACATAATATATATATGTATAGCATCTCACAAAGGGTGGTCTTAATATTGAACTATTCTATCCATTCCGGTGAGATCTGTTTACCTTGGAAAAGAAGAAGAAGAGGGTGCTGAAAGATTATGTCATATTATCATCGTCAAAAAAAAAAAAGAAGATGTTAACCGGATGTTGACTATCAGACATATCATGGATCATCTGCCCGTAATTACCGTGGACAATGGTCAGAATAATGGAGATCAATCTTCTTGTTCTTTTTTTCTTTCCTTTGTTCATCATTATGCAAATTTCAATTGCGCGTACCATCAATTTACATTTCAACACATTTATAAGTTCATTGGGGGATGTCTGTTATCAATTGTGAAAGAAAAAAAACTAATTCAGTTGAGAATAACGCCTGTTATTTGCTCATTTCTTTCTTTCTTCTTTTTTCTTTGGTTCTATGCGTGTTTGATGAGTTCTACATATATATTTATCTCACACATAAAATAAGCCAAGGATAACATTGACTTTAGGCATCAATGATTATCATTTACAATACTATAGAATACTCAGTTTTCCCTTTTACTCTAGGCGAAAATAAAACAATAATTGAAGCATTACAACCAAATGTAACAGTAATAAGTGGTCAAAAAGCAATTTTAACATGTATATTTGATAGTATAAATCAAGATTTATCACTTTTATCATCACATCAATTAATATGGATTCGACAAAGTCATGCATCTTATGATGCTGATTTAATTTTAGCACATAATCAAGATTTATTAATATCAGATGATCGTTTAAATATTCAACGTAATCATATTGATTATACATTAACAATAATTGATGTTAAAATTGATGATGAAGGAATTTATATATGTGAAGTAAATACACAACCACCAACAAAAGCAATTATTTATTTAAATGTTCAAGGTAAGAAAATTTTCGAGATTAAAATTTTTTTTTTTTTTTTTTTGTAACAAAAATGAGATTTCTGAACAAAAAAAAAATCATAAATTTCGAAAAGATACGTATTATATATATTTATTATCATCTATTCTATCAAAGTTAAGTCTCATACTCGAATTAAGATAATCAACAAAGAAATAATTCGATTTATTCGAATTGTTTATACTAAAAATAAAAATGAGAATACCAGATGAATATTAAAGATGAAATAAAGGTAAATGTTCTTTCATTTAAGAATATATATAAGCATGTTACTATTTAGAATGTTAAAGAAAATTAGTAAATGATGATGATGATCGGAAGCTCTGGCAAATATGTATATACATAGAAGTGAACTGAACCGAAAGGAGTATGTTTATTTAAAGGAATGATGACATTTCGTTGTCTATATATATATATACATATATGAAACAGAAACACATACGGAATTGCTTTTCAACACTTCTTATTACAAATACAATATATATGATGAGTATTCATATGTCCTGTTGTTCATCATTGGTTGTACTTAAAAAATCTCAATTTTTGACACTAAACTAATAGATATATATGTTGTCGTGACAATGTACATGATCAGTTTGAATTGTTGATGTAATTTGATCGATGTATAAATATGAGAGGAAAAAAGAAATCATCGCAACAGTCGAACTTTGATTTCTCTTTTTCTGAATAGAGAAATTTTTCAGATTATTTTATGATAAAAAGAAAAAAGTTCGTAATATCGATTTGATCATGATGTTTCAAATGATGTGGAAAGGAGAAGACAGTTTACCAGTTAACTCTGTAGGTTTTAAAAGAAATTCACTGGCTCCTAATGGTCAACTCTCTTGATTTCAAAACTTGGTGCTCAGAAAATACTCTGTTTTATCTTCGACTAGATCATGCAAAATGATTCGTAATTGTCACTGATAAAAAGAGAAATTTGATTATTAAATGAAAAAATAATGCATAGATTTGATCGTAATACTTTTTATTTTCAGAACTTGTTTTGAATATTGACATGTATTTTATGTAGTTTTTCTTTTTCGGAAATATAATACTGAAGTACAATGAATCTTTTCGCACAGGTCGTTTTCATTTATTATATACATTGCTTTTAAATGCTTGAGAATTTTGTTGTCGTAGTTCTTTTTGTATATTTTCATTGTACTCATATTTGTATTGATAATTCGTATAGTTTGTTATAGTTGAATCTTTATATTGGTTTGTTGATCTAAGCATAAACTTGTCATACGACTAATTTTTGGGGTAAATTACTACAATATATTTTGATTGTGTTACATATAAAAATGTTTAAATGTTCACGCTTGATTGATCGAAAGGTTGAATGGATTGAACAGGCTTATATTATACATATATATATATATATATGTCAATATATACTTAATCGATCAATTTATTGCTATTAGTTTTTTTGTTTGACAATGCACGGTAGTGACTCTGAAGTATCATCATCGATTTCAAGTCGAGCTGATGATAAAATATTTGTTATTGCAAGTGTAGTATTACCTATATTAGCTCAAGCAGCATACATATTTGATGTATTTTATTATCATTTTATTGGAATAACAGATAATGGATATGAAGGTTTACTGTCATCAATTTTAAGTGTTTTTGCTTATCTACAATATTGTGCACCGATTCGATCACGTTTTTTACGTTTTTTCTATCATTTATTTCTATGGATATTATCAGCAATAGCTACATTAGGTCATTTATTATTATGTATAAAAAAACATGATAAATTTTCTATTGTTTTATATTCAATATGTGGAACAATAGATTCAATTTATTTTGCATGTTTAATTTATTGTCGTGTATTTTCAAAAGATCGTTCTGTTCGTGTTCATATGGCTATTGAACAACGTCATCTATTTCGTTTTATATCACGTTTAGAAGTTTTACTTGCTATATTTATACCAGTTTTTTTTGATAAACATCTTGTTACATTAACAAGAGATAATATAGCTTTTTATATATTATTTGAATTTTTTGCTGAATATTATCATCGTTTTCATGGTATAAGAATTAAATCAATTTTATATATATTTGTTGTTACTGTAACAACATCTGTTACATTAGAATGGATACATATTGTAAAACATGAAGTAGGATATGAAATAGCATCATCATCATGTGAACTTATAGCATCTTGTCTTTGTTATACATTAATTATAATGCAATTTTTTCCAAATAATTTTATTTCACGTAAAAAAATGGCTAAAACTAGGCGTAGACAAACTATATCATCAATATTTTCTCAACAAACATATTTTAGTCGTCATAGTTCTGATTCAACATCTGAAAAGAATGTTTGTTATTTTTAAATTAATTTAAATTTAGATCATTTTTCTTTTTATCATAATTAATGTAGAGAAAATGTAGTGAAAGATTTATTTCTTTTTTTTGGAAATAAATTTTATATGTATAATAAACTATCTATTGAATTTTAATGATAAAAATATGGTCAATGATGAGATTAAAAGAATAAACTCAAGGATACTCTCCTTTCTTTTTTTTTATCATTTCTGGTTCTTGAAGAGGGTAAAATTGATCGACATGGAATTTTTACCATAGATAGAACACCTAAAATAAGGAGACATGTGTTTGAAGAAACAAATTTTTAACAAGATTTTTACGGTTTTTCATAGGGTCTGCTTATGATTCTCATCTAATTTTGTCGGATCCGGTTGAAAATTTCTTTGAAGAGAATGAGAGACATACGTGAAGGTGCGGATTCAATACCCGAGTGCTGATGTTCAGGGCTCTATAAATCCGGATAGAACGAACGAACGAAGTTAGAGATGATTGTAAGCAGGTTCTATGAAAAAAACTAGTTTAAAACTTTTCTCCTCAAACACTTATCTCCTTATTCTAGGTGCTCTATCTGTGATAAAAATTTTATGCGGATCGACTGTGTCCTTTTTGAAAACCAGAAATGGTCAAAAAAAAAGAGGGACTCTTAAATTAGTTCTATTGAGTAGTATTCAATGTTAATCTTTAGAAATTTCGCTTATACAATATTTAATGTATTATTCAAGACGATAGAATGTGTAGGATTCGTTTGATTATGATTTGAAAAATAAAATGTTGCGTGAATTGCTTTCGAAATAACTTCGCTCTTAGATCCTGCCAAAGTAAAGAAAAAATTGTCTTAAATAAATTACTAAAGAAAAACGAATTGACTCTATAGTTGTTGATTAAAATTTATTGAATAGTTTCTAAATTGTTGAAATTATAACAAAAATGTAATACTTTTTTATAACAATACTTTTGATTGAAACAATTAACATTGAATTAATCGAATGTAAAAAATGAAACAGCTAATCCTAGACATATTCATAGATTATTATCAATATTTTCTGTTTTATTCATTGGAAAAAGTATACCCTATTATTTCTATAATCGTTGATCGGATCTTTTATCTTTCTATCGCACTATATGTATTCTCTTTACAAATGATGTGCAACATTTTGTGGTTTCCATCTCATAGCAACGGTGGTCAAAGGTTACGAGATACGTTTCTGTAGCAACCGAGAACAACAAATTTCAGATTCTTTTCCCAAAGTTCCTAAGCAAAAGAGAAAACGTGCTGAACAGCATTAACAACAAGATTTAGAGTGTTCTAGAACATTTCAAAGCCTTCCTCAAAATTTAAGATTTCAACAATGATGGGTAGTAATGCGCACTGATTTGCCACAGTCATCATATGATCACCATTAATAACCTGAACTGATCGAGATATATAGTAGTGTGTTGATATAATGAATATGTAGAGCAGATTGATTTGCCAGATAAATCAATGGTTAGAATAATAAATTAAGAAAAACAATGAGCGAATAGCAATAAGGTAAACAGAAATAAATAAGATAGATTATTTCTCTGGCGATTGATTATCCTTGGAAAATAACAATCGTATACTACAGACTTTTCACTTCATATATATTGTATTAGTAAAATGAAGCCAAAAAATACATGTAAGTTCCACATTTAAGTCCTAAAGGGTTTGCGCTGATAAGCTTTTATCTATTATAAAAAAAAACATACTCTAGTTCATGATGATTAACAAAATAAAATAAGAAAATATGATAGATTAGCCAATATTAAGAATGTACGCTCAAAATTTCTATTGGATATTCCTCATTTAATACGATTCTATAGCTGCTGATTAAAAATAATAAATATATGATGCATTATTATGCAAAATTAAAAAATAAAATTCATTTCATATCTTATAATACATCATTTCAAAAATTTTTTTAGGAAGTCTTTAGTAAGAGTACGATCTTGTAATTAAATTGGCACAGTTTTGTTTTTGAGTTTAAATTGACTTGAGTAATAAATATTGGCATTCTTTTCGAATGATATAATAACTGCTGACATTATTTTTGTAGCGTTAATTTAATAAGCGATCCAAAATGTTCCTGGAAAAATGTTACACTCTGTTAAACCATATTGCCAATTTCTAAACCAATGAATTTATTTATTTTTGTTAGAAAAGTAATGTTCTGAACTACAAATTTTGAATGAAACATATTTTTCCAGAATGAATCTTAGAAGGAGGGAACGTTAAAAAACGGAACACCTACAAAAAAGTTCTCGTAACTTCATCATTATGTAACATCAGTTTTCTATTTCCGATAAACTTTTTATATTAGAAATGAAATGAAAAGTCATATTTAATAGTAAATTTTGTAATGCTAGGAGTGCTTCTTCCAACAGTGTATTTGAAGTTAAATTTACTCTTAATCTTTATAACAAAATACACCTATATTATACAACTTGGTCATCCTTACTAATTGACGTTTTGCAAAAACTTAAAAAATACGTTTTGAACTATTTTTTCCTGCTAAATATTTATGATCTGATATATTTCGAACAAATAACACATCAAAAATGCTATTTTGGCAATTTTATTTTCCAGCATTGTGATCATTCGTGCACTGACAATGAAAATTCTCCAAGCCTTTACGAGAATAGTTAATCATGAAAGTATCAGGCCAATTGATCTGTTCCTGTCCTGAAAATAAGAACCTTCGAATCTGTGAGTGTATATGAACGATGCAAAAAGACGCGCTTTTACTATGACTGTATATTGATATAGGAACAAAGAAAATATCTAAAAATTTCACAATAAACTTGTTTCTATACAAATTTGTCAGTTGAAAGTCGAAAATCATGATGCACATGTTTCCAACTCAAAAGCAATCAATCAGTTGGGAGACCTCCTTTATGAGACGAATTGTTGTAGTCTTAGAAAATTTAGAAGAAAAAAAAATCCTAAGTCAATCTTGAATATTTGAATTTTATTCAAAATTGTAGAATTGAGAAAAAAAAAATTTTTTCTGTTTTTTTATTTTGAAATAGAAACTCCAATGATTATTGATAATGCTACATCATCACCAGTTTTCGTAAATGAATATGATAATATAACAATGGAATGTCAAGCTCGAGGTCGACCTACACCTTATATAACATGGTTTCGTCGAAATCGAGATGAACATAATCACACAAAATTTGAAAATGAAATTTTAATAAATAATACAAATGGTCAACTTCATTTAATTAATGTTACTCGTTATCATATTGGTCATTATGAATGTCGAGCATCAAATGGTGTCAATGGACATGTTGTTAGTAAAGATATTGAATTACGTGTTCTTTGTAAGTACATCTACATAATTAAAATCAAATAGGCGACTAAGTTATACAACAGAGAAAAATTTTTGACTAAGATGATTATAATCCTTTTCTGTTTTCCAAGTTAAATAATATCTCGATCTTATTGCCCTTCAACTACTAGTAAACACATAACATTATGATTTATAGAATGAACGTCTTCATGATTATTGTTATGACGCCTAAACAATTTCTCTGACCTTTTGTTTTTGTTTTATGCAAATTTACATTAATCACAAATGTGCATACAAGAGAACAAAAACAAAATATGATAAATAATTGTTCTTGATAGAAAACAAGAAAAGAGATGCCGACAATATGCAAGATTGTATTTGACCTCAATCATTCTCATTATCAGTGAATAGTAACTAACAAAAACAATACCAGAAAAAGAAGAAGAACTTGACCTATGTCTATCTATTCTATTCAAGAAAAGAGGAGCATAACCGGGAATGATCGACGCGCCGTCGTTCAAGTTGACCGATGCGAATAACAAGAATAATGAAGTTCTAGAAAAATCTCGATATGACTCATAATACATTTGATGTCATTCATTAGCAAGAATAAATGATTAATTTTTCCTCGAAAGAAAAAAAAAAATAAAAATATAATTTATATTTTTACGAAATATTTTCCAAGAAAAATCAATTTATAAATACAGATCGTAGAAGATCGAGAAATTGATATTCATAAGATGAATAATTACATCACTTTTTTTAAATGATATACTTTCGATAAAAGTACCGGCAACACGAAGTACTAAAGGTGAATCTGAACCGATACGAACACTATGTCCTTTGTCGACCTCAAAAGTACATATATATATATATATATCTATATCAAATATCTTAGAATAAAAAATATTCTTTTGAATTGAAAATCTGATCGCAAAATCATACGATGATTATCAAAGACAAGATCAGTTTTTTTTAGTTCAGTTCAGTTTTGTTTTGAATTATTTATTATTAATAATGTTGCTTAATATTATCGTTCAATATCACTTTTACAACAAGAGATAAAATACAAAGAAGTGGTAATGTCTTCAACAGAGAAAAGAAAGAGAAAAAGAGCGATAAAAAAAGAGAAAGATAGTTATTGCATAGTTTCTTTCACATTCTTTTCTCTCTCTCTCCCTCTCTCTCTCTCTCTCTCCTTCATCTCTTCCGGTTGTTGTGTTATTGTTCACCGTCATCTCTCTCTCTCTCTCTCTCTTTCTCTTTCTCGTTTGTCTTCGGTTATTTCTCTCTAAGTCAAAAACACAGATGATACCAATTCCACCTACACATTTATTATTATCTACTGGCGTCATCAACTCGACAACTAACATTTATTTCAAATAAAAGATTTCTCGTATTTCAAAGCACACCCTACACATACATATATAAATATATATTGTTAAAAGTAAATTCACGTACATACATTCACAAGTAAAATTATCATCGATTGAAATCTTTTTACACGTCTTTTTGACAAAGGCAAAATAATGGCATCTTGGTTCATTATTTTAAATATAATTCTTTTATTATCATCATCATTTGTACAAGCACGTTTTCGAATAAATTCAAAACGACGATATTCAATGTCAACTATACCATTTATTCCTCCATCATTTCCATTTAATGATAATTCAATTTTAAATTTAAATGATGATTCTTTGATAGAATCAACAACAATATCATCATCAATTAAAATAAATAATCAAGCAAATGAACAACAAATTGAACAATTTACACTTCTTTTATTTAATCGTTTAAATTTAAAAGAACCACCTAATGTAACAATACAAAATCATGATGGTAGTGGTACAGGTATTCCATCATCAATTGTTAAACAACTTGAACAACAAACACAAGAACAACAATATATGAAACATATAGAAGAAATGAAAACTTATGAACAACAAGAACAAAAATATCGTGATGAAAATCAAGCAACAATTGAACGTGCTATTTTACCAAGTGATAAAATTTCACATCATACATGTCAGCGACAAATATCAATTAAATTAAATCTTAATGAAGAAAATTTACGTCATATTGATTGTTTTTATTTTTCAAAATCATCATTTGGTTCAGCAACTTTATCAACAAATCAAATTGTTAAACAATTACGTATTTATATAAAAAAAAATTATTTTCATATTAATAATGAATATGAAAAACGTTTAACATCAGATATGTTTAAAATTTATCAAGTATTTCGTCCAACATCAAATGATACTTTACTTCATCCATTTCCAGGTTTTACTGATACATTACGTTTAACAATAAGTCAAATAAAACAATTAAATGATAATTGGTTAGAATTAACTATTGATTCAAATAATACACAAATTAATATTCAACAAATTTACGAACAATTTAGTACGGCTTGGTATGGACTTGCAATCAATCGTGAACTTCAATCATCACGTTCATCTTTTTATCGTCGACATCATTCAAAAAAACGTATTGAACATTTTTTACGTTCAAATGATAATGAAGATAACAATAAAGAATCTCAAGAAGAATTACCATATATGCTAGTCGAATATGGTAATAAAAATTCTTCATCATCAACATCTGGACGTCGTGGTACACGTGGTACTAATAGACCACGTCCAGCACAACCTTGTGATCCAAAAAGTCCATGTTGTCGACGTCCACTTACAATTGATCTTGATCAAGTTGGTAGTGCATTAGATTTTGTTATTTATCCAAGAAAATTAGATATTGGTGAATGTATTGGTGTATGTGGTGCAAGTGGTACATCACTTAAACATACAGAAGTTAAAAATGCCCAACAGAAAAATCATCCAAATTCAGCACATAATCTTCTTTTACTTCATCGTAATAGTGTACATCATGATAGAACTACAACAACAGCAAAAAACAATCAAGCTGATCAACAATTAACTCATTGTTGTTCATTTTCACGTACAGGTGGCCTCGAACTTTTGTATACAACTATAAATGGTGGACCTGTTATACGTAAATATATACCAAATATGGTTGTTGAAGATTGTAGATGTGGATTGCCGGCTACAATTTAGCAAGTATAAAGATGAAATTGACATTGTTCTAAAAAAATTCATCATTGTTGTCTTCAACTGCCTTTGTGATATATATCTTACGAAAAAAAAAACATTGAAGACGAGGAAGGAGAGCTTACGAAAAAATGTAGAAAAAACCCTTCTTCTGCTTCTTCTTCGTCTAACTCGGTGATATAAATTTTTTTCACCTATCTTGCATCATTTTTCATTATCATCATAATTGTTGTCTATTGTACGTGTATGTGTCTGCCTGTATTATTTACTTTTTCCTAGCCTCATATACTAAGTGTATATGTATTCATTCAAATGTAGAACTCGTAGGTGCTGCTGGTCGATTGCAACTACGTTTAGCTAGTTTGTTTTCTGTATCGTTATACACACACACACATGCACATCTCGTAGCGTCTATATTCAGTAAGGCGAACAGTCCAACCGCCTAGTCGCTGAAAGCTTTTTGTTTTTCTTCTTTAATAATCGATTGTTAATCGATCGATCTTAATTTTTTTTTTTTTTTTGTTAAAAATTGAAACAAAAAAAATAAAAGATTTCCTACTCTCATAAAATGTCGCATATGACTCTCTTTGCTTAACATGCATAGTTAACATTGAATATTTGTTATTATTTACTGTTTGCAAATATTTCTTTTTTTTTTTTTCTTTTTTTCATATTATTTGCTCTTTAGTGAACAGATTCCAAACGTTATTTTTTTTTTCTTCTTTAATTTGTGTAACAAATAATATCATTTTCATTCTTCTTTTTGTTCTCATTCTTCATCGGTTTTTCTGCGCGTGCGCGTGTTTATGTAATCGTATGTGTCTGTATGTATGTTAAAGAAACATGACTATCGTTATCATCCGATGAAAAAAAAAAAAATAATTTGATATCTTATGTATTATTGCTATCCTTGATTGGCAAATATCATTCTTTAAAGTGTCATAAAAAAAGAAATGCGAGAATGCTATATTTTTATTGTTAAAATATGTTAGCAAGAAAAACTCAACTTTCTGAATTGAAATATTTTAATATCATACTACAAAGTAAATCAGATGATATAAATTGAAATAGTTAAGTCATGAAATTCAGCTTTAATTAAAAAAATCTATAAGATAAAAAAAGTCATGCTCAAATATATGAAATAATAAAGTGATGTATATATGTAAAGATTACTATTTAGATTTAAACTGTCAACATTTATCTAATACTCTATACAAAATAAGATAATACGTAATGTTATAAACAAAAATATTCTTATAGGATTAAAAAAAAAATGTACATTTTGTTACATTAAACTTAAACTATAATGAACGGGTTAATCTAGGTTTTTTCGTTTTACAACAGCAAAAAAAAAGAGCGACGAACTTGTGAAGGTTATAGGATGTAATTTCTCATATTCATTTAACATTGAATTTCTATGTATACATGAGATTAACCTTGAACAAGAGTAGACTGTATGTATATAAAAAAAAAAGATGACCTTGTTATCGATTAAAATTCTAGTTCCACCATCAATTCAAGCTCAATCAACACTTGTTCATAGTACGATTGGAAAATCTATACAATTACGTTGTTCAGCTATAGTTCCATTTGATACGAAAATCTATTGGCAAAGAATGGATAATAAAACAATATCAAAATTTCGACAACAACAATATACAAATAATGATATTACACAAACAAGTTTATATATAAAAGATATTGAAAAATTAGATTTTGGTTTGTATGGTTGTTTTGCTGAATCAATGGCTGGTCAAAGTCATGCTGTTATTGAATTACGAGGTAAAGTACTTTTTTTTTTTCTTTATTCTATTGTTAAATTAAATATTCCCTAAATTCAAAGAACATCGTCGTTTAGCAAGCTCAAAAGTCATAGAAAATAATGACTTAACAACACCACGCATACAAATACTTAAACGAAATCAAAGTAAAAAAAAACAAAAAGACCGATTAAATTACAAAGTAAAAAAAAAATATTTCATTTATTATTATTTATTTTTAGTTTCCGATCAAACAACAATATCTATAACAACTAATAAAGCTTCATCATGTTTTTCGTTATTGTACTTGTCATTTACATTGAATCAAATAATTTTCTATTATCTCACGTAGATGTATTTGTTTTTTTTTTTTATTGAAATGAATAAACTACAAAGATTATATATATATATATTTACATATTTAGGCCTGATATTCATATTTGTTTTGTTTAAAGTTTAAAATGACACTGATTGACGTAAAGAGAGAAATTAATTGTTAGGTTTTTTTTTTCTACAGCTGAATACAAATGTTGTTTTTTCATACAAGTACTTCTGACATACTGCATGTGTACTTGAATGATTTTGTTTTTTTTCCGGTATAGAAAATTCAAATGAAAAAAAAGACGTCACGTTTAAAAATATGTTTCTGATAAAATGAATATGTTTGTTTTTAATAATATAACCAATTCGTTTGATAAAAAACCCTGTCAGGATAAGATGACTATCCATTATTTAAAAAATCATCTATAAAATTTTGTAGAGTAACTCGTGATACATCGAATGGTACACAAAAAGTTGTATTTTTATTAAGTTTTAACATTCTGAGAAGTCATATACAAAGTAAGAAATATTATATCAATTGTGGGTAACATGACCATATGTTAAGACTCAGTATGTCTCAAAATCAATCTATATAAAATTTTGTATAAAGTTAATTCAATAGAGTTTTTTTCTTCTGATCTTCAATTATGTATATCTGATAATCAGACTTCGTAGCTATTCGTTCCGAATATAAAGAAAAATACAGGACAATTTTTTTCAGTTCTTTTAAGAGACTTGCCAAACATTACAATACTCCCAAAAAAATCTTAAATAGGTCATATTCAAAATTGCCAAATAAATTACTGAAAAAAGTGATTCAACAAATTCTAATCCGAAAAAGTCAGTTCAAACGTAATGATGACTTCTGTTTGTTTTATTAATAACGATTGATTAGTATCTATATGAAAACAATATAAAATAAAAACATAACAAAAAAATATTTGAATTTATTTGTATACACAATTTACAAGGAGAAAAATGCAAGTTCAGAATCCCAGCACATCAACACTAGCTGAACACCTTTTAGTGTTGAGCTGGTAAATACGATAGAAATTGACGTTATAGAGATACACATGAGAGTCATACTAATTGAATCCTTTTTTTTTCAAAAATAACAACTTTTTTTTTTTTATAAAACCTGCTCAAATGATTTTGACGTTGATAAATGCGAATCTACAGGCGATTTTTCGAAATTCTTGAGTTTGATTTTTTTGGTCAATGAAGGTCCCCATTTTAATACAATAGATGAATTTAATAAAACTTGGCTCAATCGCGAGAATAGGCTTATACTGACCAAAAAAAAAAAATCAAACTCAAGAATTTCAAGAAACTATCTGTAGATTCGAGTTCTTCGGTCCCAAAAATGTTTGGACAAGTTTTATTAAGAATTTTTATTCTCGAAAAATATTTTTGTCTTGATCGAAAAATTCGAATTGAATAGTGTGACTTTCATCTCTAATTATAACTTCAATTTCTATCTAGTTTTCCAAAACTCTGACCATCTCAGCACTTTTTCAGCAAAATTTGGTGCATAGATGTTGTACTTATCCTTTCAACAACTTGTATTATCTGTTTTTTTTATAATTATAGATATTCAATACACATAAAAACGGCGTAAACGATGCTATTCCTTAGGGCAAAGGTGATCAACCGTACAACTTTTTCAGAATTTTGTGCTACCAAACCTTATAAAGATATCAATTTATTTTTTTCTGAATCAGAGATGGGCATCGCTCGCGCCCAAACAGCAACTATGACTTATGTTTGAGCGATGGTGCTTTAATCATGTCAGCTGTTAGACTCTATTACTAGGAATTTTGAAAAAATATTGTACATCAAACGTTGACAAGTTAAGAGAGGGGATTTAATCGTTGCTTTCAAACTCCTGCACGAGAGAGTACGAGAATGAGCTATTACAAAAATTAGACTTGTTTTATTTTGTTCTTCAGAAACTTAGACTCTGAGTAACGATGTGTGAACAGGGTATGGAGTTCTATTATATTCAATATATGTTACCTTCTCTTATGAGAATTAAAAATTTTGCATACTGCAATATCCACCTTCATCAGGTCGAAAGTGAAAATTTTTTTTCCTATCTTTGAAGGATCTATGTATAACGTAACTTAGAATTCAAAAAATTAGCCCTTTTTAAGCATTGGTAAGCCGATTTTACTATGACGCATTGCGATTCAGAGTATAATAAATTAGTACGTATATTTATGAAGTTTGGTAGCACGAATTTCCGAGAAAATTGTACGGTGGAACGTCTTTATCCTAAGGAGTAGTATCAAGGAATTTAAAACATTATAAAAACCAAAAATACTAGAAAAATTTTCGGTATCAATAAAACTATTGTGAGTATTATTAGATATACACGATTGAAAATCAGAAAAAGATTCTATTAAATTAATTTTAAACCAAATTTTATATAGATTGGTTTGAAGACATATTGATTAATAATATGCGGTTATATTATCTACAATTGATATAATATTCCTTACTTTGTATATGACTTCTCAGAACATTAAAACTTGATGAAAATCCAACTTCCTATGTACCATTCGATGCGTTATGAATTGCTCTACAAAACGAGATAGGTGACTTTTCAAATAATGAGTGATCATCTAATCCGACAGAGTCCTTTTAAAGTAGAATGTAATGAAAATATACACTATAGAAATAAGATTTAGTTATGCAAGAATAATCTTCTACAGTTTTCGAAATTCAAATATAATTTACTCTGACAAAAATGTCAATGATTTTTTTTTCTATATTATTTTCAAAAGTTTATAGATAAAAAAGATCTTGAAATGTTGAATAATGATGGCACTCTTATGTGTATCTAGAGAATGATATTTTACTTGAAAGTTTTTATTTCTTCAAATATTTATGTCGAAATCAAATAAATTAGGTTTAATATATTCTTGAAACTTATATCTCTGCAGAAAAAGAACGAAAGTCAATTTTCACCTCAATCGTGTTCCATGGATTCGTGAATCGAATCTAAAACAATAACTAGCAGAGAATAAAACATAAGATTGATAATACTTCTCATATTAAATCAGATTTATTGATTTATATTTCAGAAGTGACTATTACACGTCAGTGGCGTAGCCAAGGGAGGGGCAAATGGGCAATTGCCCATTTCATTTGGAGATTTGCCCATTGTAATTTTTATGCGTCAGTTTTTGCCCATTGAAATTTCACTTTTTCAGAATTGTTTATTTATTTTTGAATTAGATAATAACTCATTTTCTTTTCTTCCGTCTGAATCACACATGCATTTTTGCTTGTTCTTTCTGTGAAGCATGAAGAAAAGACTCGCTTCTGGTATTTTCACTAGAGTTGCTAGATGAAAAACTTAAAAATCAGAAATTCTTGTTTTTAAAATCAGAAAAAAATTAGAATTTTTTCCTGAAATTGGAAACTAATCATAAAGAGTAACTTTTTGCAAACCAAGAACTATCATGTTGACATACTTGCACAAAAGGCTTCACGTTTTTTTTTGTTTATCGGCTCATACTTTGTTTTTAAAAGCATTTCATAGTAAAGAAAAACAACACAACCATTATATAGCTTAGAGTAAAAGATCATATACTGTAAGCTTAGGAGATTGATCACAGTTGGATCAAATGAAGACTCTCACTATCAAACTAACTAATTAAAAATATGCGCTGCCAGTAGCGTACACACATTGAGAAGAAGTTTCCAGTTTGTTACATGCCCTCACTACTAAATTTCGTCAACGCTTAGTTTTCTTTTTTTTTCGTCATGTTTGGATGGGACACAACCATTTACATAAGAAAAAACAATATCATGCATATCAAAAAGCAAATTCAACAAAGTCTAAGATAATTTTTTTTTTAATTATAAGGATAATAAACAAAAAATTTTAATTGCTGTCAAATTGCTTTTGAATGTGAGTAATATTGCTTCTTTCTACGTCAATAGTCGTGTTCCATCCAACCATGATGGAAAAAAAAAACTAAAGGTTGATGAAATTTCGTACTGTGGTTACATGACACATTGTAAATATTTTAAAATTTAAACAATTCTGTCTGTGTACACTATTGTCAGCTCATGTTTTAAACTAGTTGTTCCGTATGTGAGAGCATTCATTTGATGCGACTATGATGAATCTCCTTAATTTGCTGCAGCATGGTCTTCAGTTGTTAGTTAATACAAAAAAAAAAAGTCAGGAAAAGACACCTAGTGTCGGATTCTTTTACAAAAACCAAAACTCTGTTTACGAAAAATATGCACAAAAAGATCATCTATATAAACAATGCAGATCAAAAAATCTTACGAAAAATAATCAAAGTTATAGAACATAACTTCTATATTATTTTTCAAGTTTTCCTTCGTTCAAAATTCTTTCAATAAATGTTTTTGAGCTAAAATATGTTTACAAAATCGTTCAAAAAAAAATTGGCATTCACTATTCAGTTCAGCAACGCAACAATTTACTGATATATTAAAGCACTTAGCAGTGGCTGCAGAACCAAGAAACTACAAGAGATTAAGAAAGGAAAGAAGGTAGCGGAATACGAATCTATAATATTAATGGGTTACACTCGTAATTAATTCCACTAGTACAGCCGCCATCTAAAAACGTCTGGAATTCGACAACAAATCAGAAAAATCAAAAGATCAGAAAAAAATCAGGAAAATGTTCAAATTTCAGACATTTTCTTGGCTTTTCAGAAGATCTAGCAAGCCTGATTTTAACTGTAAGTTTGGGTGAACGTGAGTTCGATTTTATTGAGAAAACACTATCCACGTAAACGTAGAGAAGGATAGATCAAAAAGAAGAGAATTAAGAGAACACACACGAACATATATATGTCTACACATATATACATCTAGAGTGACATATAGAAGAGAAAGAAGAAATCCAATGGCGTATATGTAGAAATATAAAGGAAAAAAAACCAATATGTGAAATGACGTAGTTCGTAGAGAATACGTCTATGTGTGTTGTACAGATACATATTTGAAGAATCCTCAACACTAACTTATGCATTTGTTTTTTTTTTACGTTATTAGTACTTTGTTGGGTGAAAAAAGTTTTGGCCTATCAATAAAAACCTTGCCCATTTCGCCCATTGGTTTTTTTCGACACAAGAGAAGTT